TGGGCCTCTCCACAGAGTATCTCACAGCATGCGAGCTTGCTTCAGCAGAGAGCAAGGAAGAGAGAGAGCAAGAAAGAGTGCCAGTAAGTCAGTCTTTTGCAACCTAATCACGGAAGTAACATCTCATCACCTGTGCTGTATTCCGTTTGCTAGAAGCAAGTCACTAGTGCAGTCCACTGTCAAAAGGAGAGGATTATATAAGGGTGTGAATACCAGGAGGCAGGGTCATTGGGAACCATGTCAGAAGCTGCCTACGGTAATCCCAACCCATTACATAGTGTCGCTTCCTCTTGGGCATGACCCAGATTGGCTCTCCTTTTTCCATAATGATGAGTTCCACAGTGACCTCTCTGGCAAAGGAGACCAGCTACAGAACCGCTCGATGTCAGCCCCCAGTTTCACATACTGGTGTTTTGATCTAATCAATATGATCTATTTGTTTGCTGGGCTGATATGGAATATATATTCATTTACTAAAGTAAAAGCAGGTTTTCTATAAATGTCCATCCACTGAGGTCAGAACAAGTACGCCTACACAAAAAGGAGGCGAGTGTACTAGTCCCCCAGTGCACCTCATTTTTTAGCACCTAATTCCTTGGTGCTTGGGAACTCAGCCAAGAGAGGTTAGCATGGTTGAAGGTTGACTTATAAATAGCAGAAGACAGCCGGGCCAGTCAGCCCTGCAGACATCTTTACTGGGGAGGCTGACAGAATTTGTTATTGGAGGTCCCAATCCTTTGCTTATAGAGCCAGAAGCTGTAGTAGAGACCGTGGCCACATGGGCTGGATTTGTCGGGCCAGACTCCAGATGCCTTTCCCGAGGTGCAGTCAGTGCACACGAGCAGGTAGGTGTATAGCATAAAGACTGACTTGATGAGCTGGGTTTGCTGTGTTTGTTTCCATAGAGAGGGACTGCGCATGGTTTTGTCTTCAGTAGTGCAGTTCTCAGTGTCTCAGTGGCCCGGTCATACAGCCTTAAAGCATTAGCGTTGCCACTCATAGAGTTCAGTCAGTCCCAAAGTGGTGCGAGGACCCCTGCCAGGATCACATTTGAAGTTCTGCTCCTCGCCAGAACATCCAAGGCAATGGACCAGTTACTACTACAGTGGACAAATACGGCATTCCGTAGAATTTGCCCCACCTGGGGTGGGCTCTTATATTAGAGAATTTGCTGTCTTTCCCGGTGTGAAGTCTTGTAGGTAAGGCCCCCATTGAGCTAGTAGTTTGGGTAAAGTAGTAAGTAAGCTTTTGTGGTGTCTCATGAGGAGGTTCTCAGATTTTCTTGATTCATGGTGTCCCTAGTGGTGTCCTAAGTATGTCCATAGGCTAAAAGAAATACCTGAAAGTTCCATTTATTAAGTGAAGTCAAAAAACTCAGTAAGTATTATGTTCATGTAAGTATTATGTACATCTTAGTAACTTTGAGAAAGTAATACACAAAAATTAAAAAATATATTATTTCATTCTTAGCCACAATAACTTGCTAATGGGATATGTATGTGCCTATTAGACACTGCACAGCTTCTCAGACCTTGGATCAGATTACATACCACCTTATCTGCTGATCCACATCAATTTTCACATATATTTGCTTTTTTAAAAAAAAATTTTTTTATATTTGCTTTTTTCATCACAGTTGCTGAAAACCCAGCCTTGCAAATACATGATGTCATCAAACAGAATGTAGCATGGTATGACCCTGAAACTGCGTTATACCTCAAGCTAGTAGCTCATGCCGTGTCTGACAGGTTCCACATATGTCTGTGCTTGTCCTACAATTTTATTTTATTTTATTTTATTTTTCTTAAAGATTTTATTTATTTGACAGAGAGAGATCACAAGTAGATGGAGAAGCAGGCAGAGAGAGAAAGAGAGAGAGGGAAGCAGGCTCCCCGCTGAGCAGAGAGCCCGACGCTGGGCTCGATCCCAGGACCCTGAGATCATGACCTGAGCCGAAGGCAGCGGCTTAACCCACTGAGCCACCCAGGCACCCTGTCCTACAATTTTAAAATATCCCTTGGGAGCCCTGTGAATTTTGGCCACTGTTTGGAAACTACAGGCTCCTGTTTGTGAAAGTGGTTGAGGCTTAAGCAGCCTGGTTTGGCTCTTACCTGGAAGTCAGATTTCCATGTGACGGAACCTTCAGGGTTTTATCCTGCGGGACTTGAGAGAGAACCCATTGCGTGATAAGACGGGGCGCCGGAGAGTCCGGACTTCCCTGCAGCGCCAGGCTGGCCGTAGCGGCCCTGCGAAGGGAGGCAGTGGTTGTGTGCGGAAACCCGGAGGGCAACAAACCCGCCTTAGTCGTGTTGCTGGGAATTCCAACCAGCTGCGAGCTTGGTCACAGACATCTGTAATTTCGTAGGATCCGAAGCAGATCCGGAGCTCCTGAGAGGACTTGTCTGGACTGTTTCGGAGTCTTCTTACTATAGAGCTCGATGCTGAAATGACAACTTAGAAGGTTTTCCAGCGTGCTGGTGGGAACAGACCCGACTCTTCTTCCTGTGGGTTCTTTTCCTGGCCTCCCGAAGGTTCCTCGCATGTGTAAGCTGATCAGTATTGTGCTCTATACTTGAAGATCTCCGGAGCTCTCTGTAAAGCTAGCTACCTTCTCTTTAGGACACTGTAAAAATCAAATTATCTTGGTAATTCTTTTGAGGAAAAAATGTAAGCTATTCCAGGGTTATAATGTCATTCGAGTTTTCTACTTACTCTTGAGTTATTTTTGGTAAAGTCTGCTTTTCAGGGCACTTGTCTTCTATTTCAAGCTTATTGGCCTAAAGCTAGTCATAGTATTTCTTGTTTTTTTATACCTACCAAATCTGTGCTTATATTCTCTTCTTCCTTTCCTTATATATTATATTTCTGCCTTCTCCTGTTTATTTTTGGATCAGTGTCCTCCATTTTAACCCTGCTACTTCTTTAGATACCCAAAATAGTTTACTTTCTGCTGCTGAAACAGTAATGAAAAATTAAATCCAAAGTCAAATAGGGAGGAGAAATGCAGTCTTGAAGAAATGGATCCGTGTTAAACATTAAAGGAGATCCATCCTCTACTAGTGACAAGGCTCTCAAAAATGTGGTGCATAGCGATGCCTGGGTGGCTTAGTCGGTTAAACATCTGCCTTCAGCCTAGGTCAGGATCCCAGGTCCTGAGATCAAGTCCTGTATCAGGCTGTTTGCTGAGAGGGGAGTCTGCTTCTCCCTATCCCTGCCACACCCTCTGCTTGTGCGCTGGCTCGCTCTTCTCTCTCTCTCTGGCAAACAAATAAAATATTTTTAAAAAAATTTGGTGCATTAAAAAAATCACTTGGAATCCTTTTTAAAATGCAGATTACAAGGCATCACCCTTAGAAATTCTCTATCAGTAGTCCTGGCTAGGGCCCAGAAATTTGCAGTTCCAGTAAACACCCACATGATTCTGAAGTATGTGATTAGAAGACTACACTTTGAGAAACCTACTCTAATTTATGGTACAGATGAAAGGTAAAGGCTTTAAAATCCCCCAGTGTCTCATCCCCTGGGTGAATCTCTCTATTATACCAATAGTTTTCTTAAGTCACACCTTCCCTTGCCTTTACCTTACCCTCAGCTTAGCCCTCTGAGTGAAACTTGCACTCTTTGATCTCCTGCTAATGCAATATTTTGTATTAGTCTCTAGCCTTTTTTTTTTTTTTAATTTCTAGCTTAGCTAGACACCTGGGGTTAGCCTCAGGGCACCATCCAAATTCTAACGGATCCGTACCATTTCCTGGACCAGTGGAAACTGGACCAAGTCACTGAGATTCTTGGTTCAATCTCCACACACGGAACAGGATTTGAGAGCAGATTACAGAAAAGCGCATCTCTCGTAGTGAAGACAGACCTCTTAGGGATTCCCCCATTTTACATGGAGAGATTCATCCTCAGGTAGCTGAATATCCAGATTGGATCAGTGAGTCAGCCAGACCTGGAGAGGAGACCACAGAACCAAAGGCCTTCTCAGCGTCCTGGGAAGCCGTCGTGGCCCATGCTGGCACCAAATCTGAACATCCTCCCACGGGAGTCCCTGCCTTCCTGGCTGCGGGGCAGGACAGCGCTGTCCTTGTGCGTCACGCCTCAGAGGAATCCCGCAGCTCTGGTGATTTTTGTATAAGGCCCTAGACTTAGCAAGAGGGTCTGGGGCCTTATAAAGATATAGTGGTAGATGCCATATTCCGTATTCTTGCTTTCCAAAAACTGTGGATTTCCTTAATATATAAATCAGTGTTCTGGAACAGACCACATGTCAGTGTTCTGGGATAGACCGATGTGTTTCTTTATGTGAATGTGAAGGATCTTTTTTTCTATATTCAAGGATCTTAAAGATCTGATTGCGATTCTTTTTCTCCAATGAATAGGAATTGTCATAGGGGCACCTCGGTGGCTCAGTCGGGTAAGCGTCTGACTCCTGATTCAGGCTCAGGTCAGGATCTAAGGGTATGAGATCGAGCGCTGGTCGTGCTCAGTGCTGGATGGACGTGGAGTCTGCTTAAGATTCTCTCTCTGCCTCGTCCCCTGCTCTTGCGCACGCACGCACCCATTCTCGTCTAAAAAAAAAAAAAAAATTTCATAGTGAAAGGATAGATTTTCTGTTGAGGACATTTAGTATCTGAAGAGAAGATTGATTGAACAGACAGATAAATTTTTTCCTGACATTTGCGGACTAATCATAGAATAGAATCAAAGTGTTAGCCTTGGATGGGCATTTGGAGGTTATTTGGAGCAAACTCCCAGTAAAAGATGCAGATAAGGAAGCGGAATTCCAGAAATGTTAGATGTTTTATCAAAGATCATACTGCTCTTTGATGGCTGTAATGTGAGCACAAAAATGTAGTTGTTCCTCATTTCGTATCCCGCCAAATTACGGATCTGATAGATTAAAGCTGACACATTAGGTTACCAGTAGCTCTAAAACCAATTTGAAATCTTTACTAGGGCAGAGTGTGTCTAACTAATAAAGCTTTATCTTCATATTTCAGGACTAAAAACGGAAAATTGTGTGGAGAACACAGGTAAGATACGCTGTTAAAATATTTCCTCTGTAAGGGGAATGTTACTTCTCCCAGGTGTGGGTCAGAGCCGTGCCACCATGTGGTCCTGCCACAGCCATCATTTTCTCAGGGCTGAGCTGTGCCGCGGCCACCGTCTTGTCAGGTGGAGGGCTCACGGGCCTCTGTTGCCCTCTCTCCACCCCATGCCGTGCCTGTGGCCATTCTCGCAGACACTACATTCTTCTTGGGTGAGCAGGGACCGCGCCACTCTCACCCTAGCCTGGCCTTGTAGGCGCTGAAGGACTTTTGAAAGCCCCTACGTGATTCCTGTGCACAGGGCCAGATTCATATTCCCGTATTTTGACATCTTAGGAAATAACATTTGGGAGACTAAAAAGGGAAGGAATTGAGTGCGTATAGCTGAAGGGGGGAGACAGAGGATGGAATGATAATGGGTCTGTCTCACCTTCCTGGGCATGGTGGATAGGAGGAGGTAACAAAAACAAACTTCCTTAGAGGACCGTGGGAAAGATTTGGGAGGATAAAGGGGAATTCTAGGAGGGAGGAGCATTATCAGATAAGCCCAAGAGATTTGAACCAAAGGTTCCAGAAAGTGCTTTAGGTTAATGTACGCTTTGGGTGGATCCTTTTGAAGATATCCTTGTTAAAAGATTTGGGAATAAAGGTCTGTTTCTAGCTGTGTTCCTTGCCAGTTTTTCTGTGAATTCTTCATGTAATTAAAATAAATCCATACCCATTTGTTTTTGAGATTGAAATTTTAAATTTCTCATATTACTATATTTTTGGAAGCCAACTTAAGTCTTTTTTATTAATGAGCATTTAAAAATAGACTGAGTCTGACATTTATTTACATCTGAGCATAGTACTAGGTAATGAAAAATGTCTGTATTTCAGAACATCATCTCCCCATCTATCTCTACAACCTGGGTAAGTAGGCTCTAATTTTTTTTTTTAAATAATCCTTACATGGATGTTTAGTATTTACTAGCTCTTTCCTGTTTAGCAAATTCACTTCTTAGCTTAGGAAAGAGTACTTTGCAGATATGAGAGTATAACTTGAGAAATAAGAGAAGTGGAAAAAAGAATTTATTCTGGGGGAAAGTTAGCTTTTTGTAAATGGAAGGTTGGGTCTCCGGAGATATGAATAATATGGAAACGTTCTGGGGAGTAAGGTTGGTAGGACCCAAAGGGCTAGTCGCTCTTGACAGGCCTGCGGGCCTCTTACGGAGAGCTCTGTATTCATCACTGAGGTTAGCCTATGTGGCACCACACATCCAGATGAAAGGGGAAAAGCTACTCATTTTCATCTGTCAAATATGCTGATATTTGTTATCATTTGGCTAAATAAGATGTCTGGGTGATTGGATGCTTCCCCCCTAAGTTTCCACTTCCGTTGACATGACTCAAATCACTTTTTTGCATTTAAGTTCCTTATTATGTGTTCGGCGCCTGTAGCTATAGTAAGTTTTTCTTCACTGAAGAGAGAAAAGCATCTGGGTTTTCCTTAAGTATGATATTTGGAAGACACTTCCTGTCCCGAGGTGAAGCATTTTGTGAAGCTTCGCATGCGCCCGAGGACTTGCATAGCCTCACTTCTTACCGGCCCATTGCAGACGCAAGTTTTACTGGTCATTGCACAGGACTTCAGCTCAGTCTTCAAGACGGATGTTTTTCTACCTCATTGAGATCCCCAGGAGACTTTGTCTGTGTAATGATTTTTCTTCAGAAAAGGGGCCAAAGGGGGCCTCTGGAAGGTTCCAGCCCAATGTGGTGCATTTAGATTCTGGCTGACACTTAAATTTAATAGCTCTAGTTTATTGGGTGTACCGAGTGGTTCTTTATGGTTCTAGTATCTGAGAATAGTTTGCTGTAACTATAGTAATTCTCAGTTATTTTGTTTTATCATTAAAACGGATAAGTTTCTTCTTATAACTTAGGTGAGAAAGACCAGAACATTGAAGACACTGGTAAGATATTTTTGTAAACTCCGGGGGTTTTCATTTGCAGTCTAGCTCTCTCAGGGATGGAAACAGGTAAGCATAACACAGTCGGGAAGAGTGGGAAGAAGACAGAACCCACTTTAGCTTACTAGTTTGGTATATCAGAGCCGTCCTGAGTTACAGGACGACCTTATAAAGATGACGCAACTGCCTTCTCTCTTGCTTAACTCTCCCATTTATCTCCAAGATGACCAGAGAGCATTTAGAGACATGACACGAGGAGCTGGTTCTAAAGGGCCTGCTTCCTGTGCTCGCTGTGGCAGCACGTATACTACAGAGCGTATTTTCTGTTTTTGTGTTCGCTGTCGCAGGATAGAGGAAGGTGTGACTTCACAGACTCTTGTAACCTAGGGTGTTGGCAGGGGCATTGCAAAGTGTCATTGTTTTTTTCTAAATTACAGTGATTTTGTGTGTTTATTTCTGTTTCCAGCAATCTGAGTAATAGATGCTTTTAGCTGTATCCATCTGATTATTTCATGTATTTTGAAGTACAGCTCATTCCCAAGTTTTTGTTTTTTATCTTTTTTTATAATATTACTCAAATGTCCTCAAGGGTGCTGGGACAGGGACACTCATAAATTAATGGTAATATTATAAATTGGAACTTCTCTGAAGGACGGTTTGATGGTATTTATTATTAGCCTTAAAAATGTCCATACCTTTTAACCTAGTTACAGCACATTAAGATTTGTACTAAGGAAATAAAGATTTGTGTACAAAATGGTTACAGTGTGTGGTGGCCAAAATTTCTGAATAACCTTAGTATCCAACAGTTGGATATTGTTAAATAATATCCATATAATGAAACACTAAACAAGTTAAAAATCATATATTTTTTTAAAGATTTATATATCCATTCAAGAGAGAGCGTTCATGCACACGTGTGAGCAGGGGGATGGGCAAAGGAAAGAGAAGCTGACTCCATGCTGAGCCACCCAGGTGCCCCTAAAAATAATATTTTTGAAAAATATGAGAAGATGCTTATAATATAGTGGCAAGTAAAATGTGTAAAAAAGCATATGAACTGTAATAGCAGTTTATTTAAAAATTTCAAAAGAGGAGCACCTGGGTGGCTCAGTTGGTTGGGCATCCGACTCTTGATTTCAGCTCAGGTCATGATCTAAAGGTTGTGAGATCAAGCCCTGCATCAGGCTCTGTGCTTTATTAGCAGGAGTCTGCTTATCTGTCTGTCTCTCTGTCTCTCTTTCTTGCCCCCCTTTTGCCCTCCCCTCACTTGTCCTCACTCATGTGCTCTCTCTCTCTCTAAAATAAGTAAATCTTGAATGTCAAAAGATACAAACTTCGGTTATAGGAGACCCAAGTATTGGAGATGTAACATGTAGCAGGGTGAGTAGAGCAGCGCAGGGGTGTGGCGTTTCGGAAAGTTTCTAAGAGAGTAAGTTTTGAGAGTTCTTACCACAAGGAAAAAAGCCATTTTTTCCTTTTTTAAAATATCTCTATGAGATGCTAGATGTTAACTGTGATCATTTCACAACATATAAGTTGCATCATTATGCTGTACACCTTTAACTTACACAGTGCTATCAATTACATCTCAGTAAGGCTGGAAACAATGCTTAAAATGGTATGAATATATATATATAGCAAAGAAATTGAAAGGAGATATAGGAGATATACCCAAAATATTGAGGATGAGAAGCTCTGAGATCTGGGATTAATCCGAGTAATTTTTTTTTTAAGATTTTATTTATTTATTCAACAGACAGAGATCACAAGTAGGCAGAGAGGCAGGCAGAGAGAGGGGGGGAAGCAGGCTCCCTGCTGAGCGGAGAGCCTGATGCGGGACTCGATCCCAGGACCCTGGGATCACGACCCAAGCCGAAGGCAGAGGCTTTAACCCACTGAGTCACCCAGGTGCCCCAATTATGAGTAATTTTTAATTATTTCTTGGGTTTTTCCAGATTATCTGTAATTATAATGTATTATGTAATCAAGAAGTTTTATTTTTAAGAATATGACAAATGTAGGTGGGAGTCTTTGGATTGAATCTTAAAAAAATAAAATAAGAGCTGTTTTGCATAATCTAGGAGAGAGCCTGGGTCGCTAGACATAGTTGTTCTCACCATAAGTCAGTCAAGCTCTGGTGGATTAAATTTCTCCCCTTTTACCCTGGTCCCTGCCATCTCTCAAAGCCTTTCGTTTTCCACTGTAAATAGCCATATAAATACAAGGTTAAATTAATTTTCAAGTTGATTGCGTTTTTCACTGAAGAGTTTCTTTTCTCATCTTTAGGAATGAAAAGCCAGGAGTCCCCAGTCTTACCTGGTAGGTACCTCTTCCTTATCCTCTAAGACTAGCTGCAGGGTTAGGAGGAGACATAAGGGCTTACTCCTAGGACTCAGGACATTCCTGGACATGGAGAGTTTGAGGAATGAGTTAAGTCAGAACAGAGGTACTGCATTAATTCATGCTTACTTAGTATGGTCCATGCAGTATACCAAGCACTTGTACGACTTATTTCCTTTAATCATCACTTACTCCAGACCTACAGTGTATTTCTTTTGCGTAAATAAGGAATTGAAGCTCAGAAAGATTCGGAAGCCCGACCCGTCAGAGAGCTCATTATTATGATGACAATAGAACTAAACCAAGTAGACGCTTTTATTTTATTTTTCAGTGTTCCAAGATTCATTGTTAATGCACCACACCCAGTGCTCCATGCAATCCGTGCCCTCCCCAATACCCACTCAGTACAGTTTCATTTAAAAGCTGCTGTATTGGGACTGCCTTGCAAAGACAAGATTGGAGAGAGAGGGGCCAGATCCTGGAAGTTCTTTTTTTTTGTTGTTTAAGATTTTATTTATTTGATAGACAGAGATCACAAGTGGGCAGAGAGGCAGGCAGAGAGAGAGGAGGAAGCAGGCTCCCTGCTGAGCAGAGAGCCCGATGCGGGGCTCGATCCCAGGACTCTGGGATCATGACCTGAGCCGAAGGCAGAGGCTTAACCACTGAGCCACCCAGGTGCCCCCAATCCTGGAAGTTCTTAAAGTGCAGGCCAAGCACTGGGCTTTGTTAAAGAGCCATTGAAAGGTGTTTTTGTTGTTGGCTGTTTTCTTCTTCCTTTTTTTAGGGTTGGAGAGGGGGGAGGTGTAGACAAGAGAACATTCACAGTGCAAGGAAACTGATTAACCCTAATACTCATTTCTGTCTTGAGGTATGACAAGCCGTGAAGCCACCCAAATGCCTGGTAAGACGGCTTTCTTTTTACTCTCTGGACCCAAGTGTGAGATGAGAAGAATTCCCCCAGGCATTAAAGAACATGTTATCATGAGACTCTTATTCATTAACATTTGCCTTATAGCTGCCTACTAAGCATTCTTCAGATTTAGCTGGGGAAGAGAGTAGAGAGGAAAAAGTGTCTTTCTTTAGTGTACGTGTGTTCCTGGAGCAGGAAAGTTAGCCTGTTTGGGGCATGGCTGAAGGCAAGGGTGCTGGAACCCGGAGGTATGCAAGCCAGCACTTTCTAGGTTCCACAGCTGAAGTTACTCAGTAGAAAGTTCAGCTTCAGCAGAAAGCTGACTTTTAGCTTTGGCTAGGAACTCCGCATCTAGAATTTACCAACTAACAAAGTACAGTCTTCTGGCATACGGACGAGCTCAGCGCAGTGCCAAGGCAGAAGGCTCCTCTAAGCCTGACGTAGGTTTGCACGGCGGGGGTTCTTGCAGCCCAAAGTTGTAAATAAAGAGTCAGAAACTGCACCGTAGTGGGACCTTTGGCACGTGTATCACTTAAGCTCATCAGGGAAGAGCTGGGAAAATGGACTCCCCGGAGCAAACTGTAAGTCACTGAAAACTTCTTTCTCACTTAGGAATGAAAATTCCAGAAACTGTTTCACTACCAGGTAAGCAGTAGTTGGCATAGGAGAGAGGAAGCTGCCAGTCGGGGGGTATAGTTATAGTTGTCACCATTAGAGGACGCAGGGGGGCCCAAGAACTTTGCACAAGATCAGGTAAGTGAGTAAAGGACCCACGTCTCTTAACTTACGATGTAGTACCCATCCCTGGAGACTTGTGGATCTTCAGGTGATTTTCCAGTTTCATTTTACCGTGGCCGGTGTAGCCAGCCCATCAGATATAGCCATGAAAATGCTAAATGAGAATTTAAACGGTGTGAGGCTGTTGGTGAGGACGAGGCCGAGGGGCCTTGAGCTTCAGTGGCCAGAGAGACTGAACAGTAATTTCTGACAAGTTCCTCAGAAGGGGCTCAGAACTTATGCTTATAGAGGAGGAAAAAGGTCCCTAAACTTAATTTTTCTCCTGGGACAAAGAGAAGTTTATTTTTTAAAAGTAGACATAATTTACAAGAGAGCTATGGACAGTAATAACACTTCTCTGCCTCAGAATTATTATCTTTCAGATAGGCTAATACTTGTCATGCTTACCTTAGGGGATATCTCTGCAGACTAGAAAAACACAAAATCTCTGGGTGCAAGCCCCCATTTAATGCTTGAATCCTTCCTCCTGGGTTCACGTATTTTGAAAATAATTTTTGATATGTCTTATTATTATATAATGAATAGCACAGTGCTGAGCTTTGCCTAATGTTGCTGTCTGTGGAAAGAGCACAGCGCTGTGTGCAGAAACCGCATCCGCACAGTTAACCGCCTAACTCACAGATATGGGCCTAGAGAGAAGGTCCAGCAGCTCTTCTGCCTTCACCCAGTTTTGTCACGTTGGGCCAGTGTTTATTTGCTCACAATTTCGAAGTGAACCTCTAACAACACCGATGGCCCATCTTGTGTGTCTACAACTCTTCAGCTCAGTGACCTGAGTTGACACAGGGTTCTCATGGGCTCCTTCGAGGCACGGTGATTATCTGAAGGCAGCTGCCCAGCGGGGTGGGAAATGATCACAGGCTGTGTAGACAGACCCCGTTTCAATAAGTCTTTTCTCTGCCATTTTCCTCTGGGTAACTTTATATAAGTTATTTCACTTTTCTTTGCTTCTGCTTTCGAATCTGTAAAGTGAAGAAAACATTGTCCAGCAAGACTGATTGAAGTCCTAATGAGATAAAGTTTGGCAAAATGAATGGTAATTTAAAGTAGTAGTAAATGGTAGTTGTCTTTATTATTATCTGAAATTCTTTCTCATTTAGGAATAAAAGTGGTACAACTGGATGAAAAACCTGGTAATAAATTCTTTTTTGGGGGTGGACGTATCATGGTTTTCTAGGTCCTTTACCATCATCATTCAGTTAGTTCAGTCTTAAGAAGGCAAAGGAAAACACCTGGACTGTCCATCTCCCGGTACTGCAGTCTGCAAGCCAGAAGGAGAAAAGGCTGAGAAACAGGGAGAGCAGCAGGCTGCCATTATGGCTGTCGGGCTAAGCACAGAAAAAGACCGCCGGCTTACAGCTGCGGGCGTCTATTCCAGAACAGGACAGGAGGCTTCCCAAGATAAGGTGGCTACTATGAGGGAATTTGTAGTAATTGGAACAGCATTGTCAAAGAGCCGTCCGTGGGAACCCTATGGCATGAGACCATTCTGTGTTCTCACTGTGCTCACCATGTCCTCCAACAAATAGGCCACTAGGTTTTGCTGGGAACGTTTCGTATTGTGCTCTCTCCTAGACAAATGTGTGTAGTGCAGGCTTTTTAGAAGTGGCAAAAAACATTTACACAGGATCTCATTCAATCCACTTAAATATTGTTATTGCCAGTTTAGAGATGAAGATATGGGATATAGGAAGCTTGAGGAACCTGTTAAAGACGGGAAAGAGAAAACTGGGACTCAGGCTTCTCAAATTTTGTTCACCTTCTGTCATATGACACTTGTCTTCCAACCAGATGCAGTTACAGAAAATACACCTCTGTCCTGGGCCCCTAGAATTGGTATTTGGCTTCAAAGCTGTCAAAATATGGCAATATTGTAATATTTCAGTGCTAGTGTAGCATTGTAATTGAGGTCGTATATCACAGTAATTGAGAGCAGAGGCTTTAAATTTAGACATTGCTGCCACTGACTACCTCTGTGATTTTATGCAAGTTTTGAGGAACATCTGTATAATACCGATAACTATACCCACCTTCTGAGACTGTAAAAAATGTGATGATGTACATAAATCATCAGCACAAAGTATGACACACAGAAAGCACTCAATGATGGGTATTAATGTTGTACTTGGGAATTAGTTCAGTGTCCAGAAAAAGTACCTTTTTTTGTATATGAAAGTTTAATCTTTCTTTTAATGAAAACAAATATACATAATGGTGAAAAAAATTCAAAGAGCAAAGTGAGAAAAAATTAAACCCTTCCTCAACCCCATGCATAAATCTAAACGTGATACTCTCCCCTGCAGACCCATTGTCAGAGACAACCAAGTTTGCCTAATCATTTAATCAGATTTTTCTCTTCTGGGTAAATAGATGTACAATATAGTTAACCCAAAATCTGTTCATATTTTAGAAGACAAAAGTCAAGAAGATATCGGCAATCCTGGTAAGAAATATTTCATTTCCTTAGTTGATAAATGTCTGATCTGCAATATAGAAAAAGTGACAGACTTATTTTTCAATAACAGGTACAAAGTTTCAAGAGTTTAAAGCATCATCATATGGGATATAATGTCATATCCAAATATTTATTAGTGTGATATGGGGGGAGTAAATTAATTTCTTAAGCAATCATTTTTAGCTGTGTGTTTTGTTTAGAGCAGTGGTTCTTAACCCTCTCAATCCAGTCTCCCTTTTTATAACAAATATTTATAAAGCCTTTATAGTGTCCTGGAATAACATTCATAGATAAGACCTACTCGCACCCATAAGAATATCAATATAATGTTATTTATTTATATAACTATAATTTATAACAAAATTGCATAGATTTCAATATGTAAGGGTCTACATTATACTAAAAGAAATAATGGACAGATGATTGTATTTACTTATACAAATTGGATTTAAGGAGGGCATGTGATGTAATGAGCACTCGATATTATGTAAGACTAATGAATCATTGACCTCTACCTCTGAAACCAATAATACAGTATTTGTTCATTGAATTTAAATAAAATTAAAGAAAAAAAGCAACTTGAAGCAGTGTGCTCTTTTTAGAGATCCTGAAGATTACCTACAAATGGAAATGATTTATAAAAGGAGCAAAATTTTGGAAAAGGTTTAAGACAAGGAAATACTCAGGATCAAGATTCTAATTCACAGTTTCCCTACACTCATGCTGACATTAGTGTACATGCGGATAACTTTTAGTAGGGATGGTCCCATTAAAGACAAATTTAGCTTTTTAAAAACTATATTATTTATTTGAGAGAGAGAAGGAGAGAAAGCATGAGCATGGGGGAGCAGCAGAGGCAGAGGGAAATGGAGAAGCAGACTCCCTGCTGAGCAGGGAGACCACGTGGGCTCGATCCCACGATCCTGAGATCATGACCTGAGTCAAAGGCAGACTCTTAACCAACTGAGCCACCCAGGCGCCCCAACAGATTTAATTCTTTATATATATATATATATGTATACACACACACACACACACACACACACCCCACCCCACCCCCACCCCCCCTGACAAATTCCAAACTGCCTGATAGGGGGCCGTACTGATCCCTTGAGAACCACTGGTCTATAGTAACAAACTAATGTATGAGTCTACCTGTCTGTCCCTTTCCCCATCTGTATACATACAACTCTGTGTTTATAATTATGGTTGAGTAAATTGATAATAGGAGTTAAAGACTTATAAAATTTATTGGTTGTTTCTCTAGGCCTTGTGTATGAAGTCTGAGTGTGATTACATTTGGATACTTCCCAGTCCTCCCTTGTGTAGTCTAAACCGAAGCACAGCCATCATTCAGTTACATAATTCTGTGTGAAACAGATCATCCTCACATGAGCGGACTATACTGTTTCTTTTCACTAGTTCAGGTGAAAGGGAAACTGTTTCCTCCAGACCAGTGATCCATGTATGGAGGGAAAAAATTCATTTTTTTTTCAGTTGGCAGGGCTTAGTGTTTAAAAATGCAGCTGTATTTAATCACATATTGGTAACTATTAGCATATACATGTGAAATACAGTCTTGAAATAGAATCAAACTCTACCTTGCATGTATATACAAAAAATTAAAACAAAAAATTGCTAAGAAATTCTAGAGAACTTGAAGAACAACAAAAGGTATCTTGTCTACAGAGATACTAAAAAGGCTGTGGAGGGTGCCTGGGTGGCTCAGTGGATTAAGCCTCTGCCTTTGGCTCAGATCATGATCTCAGGGTCCTGGGACCAGGCCTGCATCTGGGCTTTCCACTCAGCAGGGAGCCTGCTTCCCCCTCCCCTGCCTGCCTCTCTGCCTACTGCCTACTCTCTGTCAAATAAGTAAATAAAATCTTAAAAAAAAAAAAAAAAAAAGCTGTGGCATCCTAGGTAAAAACTACGTCAACACACCCTGGTGATATACATGAAAATACAGCCTGAAATCTGTATTGAACTGTACTTATTCCAACATTGTTTCTGGTTAGCGTTTGAGGAAAGTCTGTAGTTCAACTTGAACATCTACATCAGGGTACCTGGTTTAGGTGCATGAGGCTATCAGAAATGACATGTGTCAGTGACCGTGTGTTCTCATCAACAGCTCCAGATCCGGTTCCAGTTCCCGGTCCCAAAACCCACCCCTCTGCATCCTCTGGCGAAACGCTCCTTCCACCGCTGGGGACATTCATCATTTCAATCATTACTTCTGCTATAAATCTCTTTGTTGCTTTGTAGTCTAATGTATTCTTTATTTACTTAAAATATACTCAAGGAATCCCACAGGAAACCGGCAACAGGAATGATGTATTTTTTCACTTGTTCATCAAAGTCATCTGATAAAATGAGAACTGAGTATTTGTTATTTACTTTGTAAATTCACAGTTGGTCCAGATCGATCATAGAATTCATTTTCCATTTATTTCTATATTTATGATTGCAAAAAAACCCCTGTATTCTTCTGATTGAATTCAATAAAAGACTTTAAATTTATTGGATATAATTTCAGTAGAATTGCCAGATATTAAAATATCCAGTACCGTTAGTGACTAACAAGAATTTAATTCCTAAATTAGAATTTTAAGGAAGTTTTACTCATCTTTGAAGGATCAAACTTTGACTTCAAATACTATCATCCAACAATCTCATCATCTTTCGTTGATATATAAACACTTTGTATTTCTGTAAACATGATTGTTTACCAAGTTTTTCACATATGGTCCCTGACTTAAATCTCATATTAATTGACAAAAATAGACAGTAGTGAAGGAATGTATATGCTAAGTAAGCAAGGAAAAAATGAGATTATACACTATATTACTCTTTTCCCCAGGGTATTGTGGTAGTTGAATAGTGACTGGTTTAGGCATGGGCTTTGGTAACTGGCACTTGTTTAAATTTTGCAGTGTTTCAAAAAGGATTTAAGTCTGGGGCGCCTGGGGGGCTCAGTCATTAGGCATCTGCCTTTGGCTCAGGTCATGATCCCAGTGTCCTGGGATTGAGCCCTGCATTGGGCTCTCTGCTGGGCAGGAAGCCTGCTTCTCCCTCTCCCACTCCCCCTGCTTGTGTTCCCTCTCTCGCTGTGCATCTCTCTGTCAAATAAATAAATAAAATCTTTAAAAAAATTTTTTAAAAAGAGGATTTAAGTCTACCTTGAAAGATAAGAGAAAAACTACTTAAAATCTAGACTTAGGTGTTACGGACTCAATGTGCTTTTTAAAAAACGTTGTCTGCACACTCCCCCCCTCCACCAATCTGGCTTATTTATATTTGTTTATTTATTTATTTATTTGGAAGGTTTTATTTATTTGTCAGAGAGAGAGGGAGAGAGATCACAAGCAGGGGGAGTGGGAGAGGGAGAAGCAGGCTCCCTGCTAAGCAAGGAGCCCAATGTGGGACTCAGTCGCGGGGTCCTGGCACCATGACCTGAGCTGAAGGTGGACGCTTAACTGACTGAGCCGCCCGGGAATTCCTACTTATATTTATTTTAAAATTTTTTAATTGAATATAGTTTACACGCAATATAATATTGGTTTCCGATATACAAAGTGACTTAAGAATTCTGTATGTTATGAAATGTTGACCACAGTAAGTGCAGTTACCAGCTGTCATTATACAAAGTTATTACAGTAGAATTGATGATATTGCCTATGCTTTATTTTTCATCCCTGTGGCTTACTGTTTTATAACTGTTCGCACCTCTTAATCCCCTTCATCCATTTGCCCATCCCTGTACCTCTCTGGCAAGCTCCAATTCTCTATATTTATGGGTCTGTTTCTGTGTTTTGTTTGTTCATTATTTCTTTAAGATAGGACCTATAAATGAAATCATATGGTATTTGTCTTTCCCTGTCTGAATTAATTAGCAAAATACCCTCTAGTTAATGTCATCACAGAGGACAAGATTTCCTTCTCCTTATGGCTGAGTGATATTCCACTGGATATATACCACAAATTCTTTGTCCATTCGTTTTTAGTGGACACTGGGTTGCTCCATATCTTGGCTATTATAAATTATTCTTCAGTGAACTTGGGATACATATGTTTTTTTGAGTTAGTGTTTTGGTTTTCTTTGGCTAAATATCTAGTAGTGGAAATACTGGATTATGTAATATTTCTATTTTTAATTTTTTGAGGAACCTCCATTCCATTTTCTGTATGGGCTTCACCAATTTACATTCCCATCAGCAATGCCCCAGTGTTCCCTTTTCTCTGCATTCTCACCAACACTTGTTAGTTCTTGTCTCTCTGGTACTAGACATTCTGACTGGTGTGAGGTGATACCTCACTGTTGTTCTGGTTTGCATTTCCCTAATGATTAGTAATGGTGAGCAGCTCTTCATGTGTCTGTTGGTATTCTGTAGGTCTTCTTTGTAAAAATTCATATTTGGATCTTCTGCCCATGTTTATTTTTTTGATTAGTTGTGTGAATTCTTTATATTTTTTAGATATCATCCCTTTATGAGATACATAATTTGCAAATATGTTCTCCTATTTCCATAGGGTTGCCTTTTTGTTTTGTTGATGGTCCTCTGCTGTGCAAAAAGCCTTTCATTTAATATATTCCCAGGTATTTATTTTTGCTTTTTTTCCCTGTCTGAGGGGACAGATCCAGGAAAATATTTCTGGGGCCAATATCCGTAAGTTTATTACCTCTATGTTTTCTTTTAGGAGTTTTATGGTTTCAGGTCTCACATTTAGTTCTTTAATTCATTTTGAGTTTATTTTTTTGTGTGTGGTATAAGAAAGTGATCAAATTTCATTCTTTTGCATGTAGCTATCCAGTTTTCCCGGCACCATTTATCAAAGAGACTGTCTTTTCCATGTTGTATATTCTTCCTTCTTTATCATAGATTAATTCACCATATAAATATGGGTTTATTTCTGGCCTCTCCAGTCTGTTCAGTTGATCCGTGTGTCTTTTTCTGTGTTGGTACCATACTGTTTAGAACACGACAGGTTTATAGTATAGTTTGAATAAAGCAGCATGATACCTCCAGCTTTGTTCTTTCTCAAGACTGCTGTCAATTTGGTGTCTTTTGTGGTTCCATACAAATTATAGCATTATTCATTCTAGTTCTATGAAAAATACTATTGGCATTTTATAGGGATTGTACTGGCTCTGTGGATTGCTTTGGTTGGCTGGACATTTTAACATTCTTCTTCCAGTTCATTAGCACAGAATGTCTTTCCGTTCATCTGTGTCATCTTTAGGTTCTTTCATCGGTAATCTTAATCATTCCAGAATACAGGTCTTCTGCCTCCTTTTACATTTATTCCTAGATATTTTGTTCTTTGTGAGGTCATTGTACATGGGATTGTTAATTTCTCTTTCTGGTAGTTACTAGTATATAGAAACACAACAGATTCTATATACTAATTTTTTATCCTGCATCTTTACTAAGTCATTTATTAGTTCTGGTAGTTTTTTGGTGGAGTCTTTAGGGTTTTCTATATAATAGTGTAATGTCACCTGCAAATAGTGACAGTTTCATTTCTTCTTTACCAATTTGAATGCCTTTTATTTCCTTTTCTTGTCTGATTGCCAAGGCTAGGATGTCCAGTACTATGTTGAGTAAACGTGGTGAGGGTGGACATCCTTGTTTTGTTCCTGATCTTAGAAGAAAAGCTTTCAGCTTTTCACCACTGAGTATGTTAGCTGTAGGCTTGTCATATATGGCCTGTTATTACATTGAGGTACGGTTCCTCTCTACCAACCCTGTTGAGAATTTTTATCATAAATGGATATTGAATTCTGTCATGTGTTTTTTCCTACATCTATTGAAATGATCATATAATTTTTATGCTTAATTTTGTTAATGTGATACATCATGTTGATTTATTTGTAGACATTGAACTGTCCTTGCATCCCTGAAATAAATTCCACTGGGTAGTGGTGAATGATCCTTTTATTAATGTATTGTTGAATTTAGTTTGTGAATATTTTTTGGAGAATTTTTGCATCTATGTTCATCGGGATATTGATCTGTAATTTTTTTTTTTTTGTAGTTCCTCTCTCTGGGTTTGGTATCAGAACGGTGCTGTTCTTGGCAGAATGAATTTGGAAGCATTCTTTCCTATTCTACTTTTTGAAATAGCTTGAGAAGGATAGGTATTAGCTCTTCTTTAAATGTTGGCTAGAGGACACCCAGGTGGCTCAGACAGTGCAGGTGTCTTCAGCTCGGGTCATGGTCCCCAGGGTCCTGAGATCGAGTCCTGCATCGGACTCCTTGCTAAGCGGGGAGCTTGCTTCTCCCTCTGCCTACTGTTCCCTCTGCTGTGAGCTTTCTCTCACTCTGACAAATGAATGGATAAAATCTTTTAAAAAAATAAATATTGGGTAGAAATTATCTGTGAAGCTATCTGGTCCTAGACTTTTGATGTTAGGAGTTTTTTGATTACTGATTCAATTTTGTTACCAGTAATTGGTCTGTTCAGTTTTTCTCTTTCTTCCTGATGCAATCTTGGAAGATTGTATGTTTCTGGAAATGTATATATTTCTTCTACATTGTCTAATTTGTTGACATGCATTTTTCATAGTCGTCTCTTGTCTTTTATAATCCTTTGGTGTCTGCTGTAACTTTTCTTTTATTTCTGATTTGTTTGGGTCCTCTTTTTTCTTGATGAGTTTGGTTTAAGATTTACCAGTTTTGTTTATCTTTTCAAGAAACAGCATAGTTTCATTAATCACTTTTATATATATTTTTTAGTCTGTATGTTATTTATTTCTGCTCTGATCTTTTTTTTTTAAGATTTTATTTATTTATTTGACAGAGAAAGAGATCACAAGTAGGCAGAGAGGCAGGCAGAGAGGGGGAAGCAGGCTTCACGCTGAGCAGAGAGCCCGACGCAGGGCTCAATCCCAGGACCCTGAGACCATGACCTGAGCCGAAAGCAGAGGCTTAACTCACTGAGCCCCCCAGGCGCCCCATCTGCTCTGATCTTTATTATAATTTTCCTTCCTCCTACTAACCTTGAGCTTTGTTGTTTTTCCGGTTCCTTTAGGTATAAGATTAGATTGTGTAAAGTTTTTGTTTCTTGATAAATAGGTTTAGTGCTACTGACATTCCTCTTAGGACTTCTTTTGCTACACCCCAAAGATTTTGAACCATTGTGTTGCCATTTTCATTTGTCTTGAGGTATTTTTTTCATTTTTCTTTTTGATTTCTTTCTTGACCCATTGTTTATTGAATAGGATGTTGTTTAGTCTTCATGTGGTTGTGTTTTTTCAAGTTTTTTCTTGTAAGAGAGCTCTGGTTTCATAATGTTATGGTTGGAAAAGATCCTTAATATGATTTCACTTTAAATTTATTGAGATTTGTTTTGTGACCTAACATGATATTTTATGGAAAATGTTCCTTGTGCACTTGAAAAGAATGTATATTCTGTTGT